CCCCCCCCCCCCCCCCCCCCCCAAAAAAAAGAAAGTTGGCGTCCGCTCCGTCTCCATCCGCTTCTTCCCGCATCGCCACCATCACTTCGGCACACCGACTGCCACTTTTCAGCATGTTCATGCTCAAGAGCTTGTTCGGCAAGATCTGGGGCGACTCCAACAACCAGGAGCTCATCCAGATCCCCGCAGGCGCACTCTACCTCGTTCGTCCCACCAACGGCCCCCAAGGCTCGCGCGAGTGCATCTACGAGGACGCCGTGCTCGCCATCCGCAGAACCACCTCCGAGTTTCACTATCAGCTCGTCGTCACAAAGGCGTTTCAGGACTCCCAGCCCGAGCTCGTCGACCAGGAGGAGGACGACTTGGAGGACGAGCGCGCCTTCTTAATCGACCACGCACTCGACTTCCGCCTCTCCACCCGCGGCAAGGAGCGCACTTTGGTATGGCGCGACTTTGACGGCGACCAGGACGACCTGCTCGAATTCGTCATCGACAACAAGCAGGTCAACGAGGTCACCATCACCATCTTCGAAATCACCTACCTCCAGTGCGTCTACGAGCATGCCTTCCGCACAAGTCACGAGCGCGCATCCGAAGAAGACCTCGACAAGCTTCGCTACAAGGACGAGGCCGATCAGAAGCTCAAGCGCGAACAAAAGGACCAACTCGACAAGAAGCTACAAGATGCCGGCATCGGCTCCAATGACGCCAGCGCATCTGCATCCGCGTCCGCGTCCGCAGCCAAGCAAGAGCCGGCTGCTCTCGAAATCGCTCCGACTGTAGCGCCCGCTGCCGACACGGCCGGTCCGCAGATCGACGAGAACTCGATCGTCTTTTCCGCAAAGGCCGACCTCTACCTTTACGACCTCAAGTCGCAGTACTTCCTCGTCCAGGAGCGCAAGGTCGACATCAAGGTCGTAGAGGCCGGTCGCTTCCTCTTCTGGCTCTCCATCCAGGGCGCAGACAAGACATGGCTCGCACAAAAGGTCGAGAGCGACATGAACATGAACTTCTCGCCAGAACAGACCTCGGCCGTATGGAACTACTTTACAGACGATCGACAGTGCTTCTCTTGGCTTCTCCGATTCGAGGACAAGGAAGCCTACGCCCACTTCCACAAGGGCTTCAGCCAGGTTCTCTACGAGACCCAAAACGAAGAACCCTGGAGCAAGGCGAAGAGCGACGACCGCGCCTATGCAGAGACCGCATACGAGCAGGGCGAGCCCATGGACCTCGACGACATTAGCGAGAGCGAAGCTGGCGACGAGTCCGTCCGCACCGCCCGCCAAGATGAGGAGGAGGACGAGGAGGAGGAGGTGGCCGCCGAGCTTCAGAGCGGCGGTGCCGACTCGGACCAAGCAGCTTGGCCCGAAGAGACTTCGTTGCTCGCCGGAAAGCAGGACGTCAACTCGTTGCTCGCCGTCGGATACAAGTTCGACCGCTCCTTCGTCGCCCGCGGCGACAAGATCGGCGTCTTCCGCCACACTGACGACAATAGGCTCGAGTTCGACACCACCATCAACAACGTCGGCACCCCATCCGGCAAGGGCTTCAAGCCACTCAAGATGATGCTCCACAACCAGGACGCGCAGATGGTCATGATGGACCCGTCCAACAAGCACGCGCTCTACAACATGGACCTCGAATACGGAAAGATCGTCGACGAGTGGAAGGTGCACGACGACGTACAAGTCAGCAACGTCGTGCCCACCAGCAAGTACGCGCAGATGACGGGCGAAAAGACGATGATCGGACACAGCCAGAACGGCATCTTCCGCATCGACCCGCGTCTCGGCGGCAACAAGCTCGTCGACTCGCAGTTCAAGCAGTACGCCGCCAAGAACGACTTCTCCGTCGCCGCCACCGACGACAAGGGCCGTCTGGCAGTCGCCTCCAACAAGGGAGACATCCGTCTGTTCGACACCATCGGCAAGAATGCCAAGACGGCGCTGCCTGCCCTCGGCGATCCCATTATCGGCATCGACGTGTCGACGGATGGACGCTACATCATCGCGACGTGCAAGACCTACCTCTTGCTCATCGACACCCTCATTGGTTCGGGTCGTTTCCAGGGGCAGCTTGGCTTCGACCGCTCCTTCCCCGCAGACGCAAAGCCGCAACCCAAGAGGCTCACACTCAAGCCCTCGCACGTCGCCTTCATGGGCTCCGAGATCTCGTTCACCCCCGCTCGCTTCAACACGGGCACAGGCCCCAACGCCGAGACTTCGATCGTCACCAGTACAGGCCCCTACGTCGTCAGCTGGGCATTCAAGAAGGTCAGGAACGGCGAACTGGGCTCGTACGTGCTCAAGCGCTACGGTGGTGAGATCATCCAGGACGAGCACACCTACGGCTCTGACCAGGCCATCGTCGTTGCGTTCGAGCACGACGTCCAGATGGCAAAGAGGAGCCAGCTGCTCAAGCCGACGCGCAAGTCTCTCGCACCTGCCGGCTTCGGTCGTTGACCGCTTTCGACCTCTTACGCATATCCTTCTTTCACCGCCTTGTGCGGTTGTGCTTGGCAGTCATGCATGTCGATGACACACCTCCTGTAAAGTAGTTTTGCACTCATGCTGGCCCCAGAGGCGGCCTTCGCTAAGGATGTAAAGCAATAATGATACCACAACCGACCGAAACAGCCTCGCTTTTGCCTGTTCCCTCTGATCCGCTTCGCCCCGCGGGGTGTGAGGCAAGTGTCGACGTTCGCAGCGAGTGTGGCGGCTGAGTGTGGCAGGCGAGGGAGCTCGAGGTGGGGTCTGAGGTTTGGACAAGTTGGAGTGCTGGGCATACGCAAGGTCGCGTCGCGCAGCTCGGGACACGGAAAATGGACTGGGCTGTGGATTGAGAATTGACGTCCTCCGCCTTGGCCCACTGGCTCGTCCCTCTGTGCATCCGACTCAGCACCCGACTTTGTGTGCTTAGCCACAGGCCCCGACAGCTTTCTGCACTTGGTATCGGCTACTTGCCGATTGGAGCTTGGCAACGATGGCGCGAAATCAGGAGAAGGCGCAGTCGATGCTGTACCGCTTCCGCGAAGCGCAAGCGAGCTCGCTCGGGCTCACGCCCAAAACCACGCGTCGCCCGCGTCTGGCCTCGTCCGTGACGTCGCTGAAGGAATGCGAAAAGTGGCGGGGGGAAGTGATCCGCGAGATCTCACGCAAGGTGGCCAAGATCCAAGACTTTGGACTCACCGATTTCGAGGTGCGCGATCTCAACGACGAGATCAACAAGCTGCTGCGCGAAAAGGTGCACTGGGAAAAGCAGATCCTCGCTCTCGGTGGTGCCAACTACATGCGTGCGGTTCCAAGCATGCTTGGTGGCGATGCGGGAATCGGAGGTAGGGGGTACAAGTACTTTGGTCGTGCCAAGGACCTTCCGGGTGTCAAGGAGATGTTCACCAAGACCAGGGAACAGGAGGAGATGGAACAGAGCTGGAAGTCGGACAAGTGGCAACGATTTCGCAACCTCCCACCTGCGTATTATGGAGATGAAGACGAAGACGACACTGGATTGCTGCAAGAAGAGGTGCGCAGGGAGGAGGAGGAATGGACACAGCGGTACTTGCAGATCATCCAAGGNGCGTATTATGGAGATGAAGACGAAGACGACACTGGATTGCTGCAAGAAGAGGTGCGCAGGGAGGAGGAGGAATGGACACAGCGGTACTTGCAGATCATCCAAGGTCTGCAGCAAGATCGACGCGACGACGAGCAGATGGACAGCGACATCGAGGGGTCCAATGGCGGCATTGAAGTGCCTGCCATCCCACGACCGACACCACGACCTTTCAGGGAAGAAATGCAGGCCCTCGCATCGGGCTTCCACCCGGCCACGTCCCGGGACGATTCGACAAGCGTCGAGGCTGATTTGGCATCGGCAGCCAAGCGTCAAAAGGGCTCGGACGGAACACCCCTACCGGCTACATCAGCTTCGCCACAAGTGGCATATAGCATCTTTGCACCCGAAGACCTTGCGCATCCCACACTGCCAGACCGCACCGCCGTGGAAAGGATGATCCTCAACGCCAAGAAGCGCCAGCTGCGTCAGGAGTACATTGGCTCCTCATAGTCGTCGACTTGCACCCTGTTTGTACTTGTACCACCTGTCTCAATGCACGCTTGCATCGCATCACTCTCGCCCCGTTCACGTCCATGCTTCACGGAGAATCTGGATTCCAACTCGAGCTGCATCACATGTTAACCGCCGTCAGCTGCTCTAGTCGCCAGAGCATCCTCATACCTCTCGTCACAGCCAGAGTGGGATGTCGAAAAAGTACAGATTCTGCATTGATGCATGTGTGGTAATGGACGTGGGTTTAGGGTGGAGGAGTCCCCGGCCGCCGTATACACACCGGCAAGACGGTCGAAGAGATGGACTCGAGAGTCCGATTTTTTGGGCTTCAAGGATAGAAGGATCGAACGAATCTAGCAGAGCACGCGGCCTGTGTACCACCAGGTCGAGTGCCGCCGAATCCGCGAGGAAAGATGCATGTCGAAGGTCAAGAAAGAAAGGAGGCGAGGTGGATTCACGATGCAAGAGGCTAGACCCTTTACACCTTGAAGCCACGCGAGGCACGACGACCACGGGCCTTCTCGAACTTGCGGCCCTTGGCGCGGATGTAGGGCTTCTTGTTCTTGTGCGGGCCGAAGCCGAAGTGCTTGACGGCCTCGCGGGCGTTCTTCTGGCCGCGGATGAGCACGGTGTTGGAGCCAGTGGGCGCACGGGTGGCGAGCTGGTCGAGGGTGAGGCACTCACCGCCAGCAGCCTCAATGCGGGCACGAGCGGTGTTGGTGAAGCGGAGGGCAGCAACCGAGAGCTTGGGCAGCTCAAGAACACGGTTGTCGTCGGTGATGGTGCCGACAACAACAACGGTCTTGGGGGTCTCGGAAGCCGAGGCGGCAACACCACCCTGCGACTTGGTCAGGTAGATGACGCGCGAGACCGACACAGGGGGCTGGTTGATCTTGGACATATACAGGCGGCGGAGGACGGCCTTGTTGAAGCGGCTGTCCGTGCGGCGGGCAAGGAAGCGGTAGAGCTGTGCGTTGCAGTCGGTGAGGTGGACAGAGTGACGGAATGGTCAGCGAATGAATGCTTTGGAAAGGTGGAGATCGAGGTGGGATCCGGATCCGGTTGGCTGAAAGGTGGCATGCTCTGCATCTGAAGCCGTCTGCACTTCGCTCCCGTCAATGGCTCCTGCATTCCGTGTTGCAATCCTGCAAAGATCCGATGAAAGTTCCCACACTCCAAACGAAGCGTCCATGCGTCCCTTCTGTTTCCGAGCCGTAGCGCGTATCTGGGCCTTGCCATCGGGTGCATGCCGTTCTAGGACCGGATCTGGGTTCGAACCTCTCTGGGACGTTCGTGAAAACTTACCTTAACCAGGAGCAGGAGGTAGGGGTCCTGGCTCTTGGGAGCGGTACGCTGACCGTTCTTGACGTGCTTCTTGGCGATATCAATACCCTGGTGTAGTGAACACATGGACGATTGTGTGGCGCGTTAGTTGGACTGCATAGACGAACACAAGATGCTGATGATGGCTGTCCAAGACGAGCAATCCAAAGACGACTGGGTTTCGGAGGGCGATGCAAGAGAGACGTCCGTGTTGCCGAAGAGAGTCGCAGCGTGTATATGGTCGGAATGCCGAGAATCAAAAATAACGAGACCGATGCAACGTGGACTCGCCATCTTATAGTTGGGCCGACCTCCGCTGGGGGCATGCTGGTAATGGGTGCGTGTGCGAGTCGAGGGTCATGGTGGCGTGAGATCGATGCGACAGGGCAACCACGATTGCCTATCAAAATCGGAGCGTATCCAACGGCAGGCATGCAATGTCCAGGTATGTCGTGGATTGTGCCCAAGCTCCGGATACGTGATTGCCAGCGCAGGCCTGCGCCTCTACGCTGAAGTCCTAGCGCGACCCTAGGCTGCCACGCATTCCGACGTGCTTCCGGCTGGCGTCACCTCCTGCTGCACGACTGGTACAACGTCTCCTCTTCCGTTCGCGAGACAGTATTGGTGAACGTATATGCGTCGGGCGGTGCAAGTTTGGCGAAACATGCTGATGCGGTACTTTGGATGTGCCTCTCGGTGCTTGGTCGGAGTGGGACTTGTGATGTCGATTGCATGTGTTTGGTCGTACGTCGTCGATGGATGTCGTCTTGGTATGCCGTGTGCAATGTGAGCACAACTTACCATTTTGATGTATGTCTTGACGGGGTGGAGATGGTGAGGGAGAGCCAAACGCTGATAGCGACGGGGCGCTTTCCACACTCTGAGGCCACGCTCTCACTGCCGGGCTCAGGCAGGGCCTGGCTTCATTCTCAATCTTGGCCGAAGCGGTTCCGCACTCCCATCCAGAATTCGCAACTCAAGGCCACGGGCTTTCTCAAACTGGCGGCCAGCCGCTGGCGACCACCAGTAGCAGCAGCACACTGGCTGCAGGCACTGCGAAGCCCACGACACTGGAGTCGCTCACAATTTCGTTGGCCGGGACTGAGGCAAGAGATCCAGGCTGGCTGGCCGCCGCTGCTCCAACCTCGGCCGAGCTTTGGCAGACGATCACATGACTTCCAGAGGCGGCCCAGATCTTGAAATCGGGAATTTCTAGAGACGACCCTGGCGATACAGAATTGTTAGGTTTGGTGCCGATTCTACGTCCCGACTTCCGAGCCCAGATGCCTCGCGCTCGAGAAGGGCAAGGCTGGACGCGATCACCACAGGAACGCGGGAGGACAGAGGGTCGACGTCCGTGCAGTGCTTGCATCCACACTTTGGCGCTCGTTTTTGACTCGGTGTGCCTCCAAAGCAAAGTTTCCAGGCTGCAGCCTCCTGCAGCCAATTTCGAGTGCATCTCGTCGAGCGTCGTCCAATTAAGTTAGACCCACCACACCTCTCTTCAAGCTTGGCTCAAGCACAGACGAAGCTTCGACCATGGTAAGTCGTCTGCCTCACGTTGGCGGCAGCAGCAGCAGCAGCGCACATCTGTCCGTAGCTGCAGCCGCGCCACGCAGAAAGTGTTGATCTCGTGTTTGTTGCGAGTGCTCATCTGACCTTGTACGATCCTCCTTTCGTCCTACACCACCCTCTTCACAATCGACACTGTCCCTTTGCATTGTCTCGCCACCATGGACTCGCACGAACCCATGGACGTCGCCATGGAACGCCGTTCCGTTCCGGACTACAAGGACATCGACGAAGACCGAAGGCCCGAGTCGCCTGTGCGCGGCCGCTCGTACTCGCGCTCGCCCTCCACCACCCCCGTTCCTGGACGTCGCGACCGCAGCATGAGCCGCAGCCGCACGCCCAGTCGCAGCCGTTCCCCTCCGCCCCGTCGACGCTCGCGATCGCCCGGCGCTCGTCGCTACGACCGCGACGACCGCGACAGGCGCGACGACCGCCGAGATGACCGCCGCGACCGCAACCGCTCCCCGCCTCCGCCTCGTGGCGACCGTCGTCGCTCGCCACCTCCGAAGCCGCGCACCGCGCCCGCCAACGTCGACCCCACCACCGTGCTCGGTGTGTTCGGCCTCTCCATCCGCACCGTCGAGGCGGACCTCAAGCACGAGTTCGACGCCATCGCCCCGGTCGAAAAAGTCGTCGTAGTCNCCGTGCTCGGTGTGTTCGGCCTCTCCATCCGCACCGTCGAGGCGGACCTCAAGCACGAGTTCGACGCCATCGCCCCGGTCGAAAAGGTCGTCGTCGTCTACGATGCCCGCTCCGGTCGCTCGCGTGGATTCGGCTTCGTCACCATGCGCACCGTCGAGGGCGCTAGCGCTTGCATCGACGCGCTCAACGGCAAGGACCTGCACGGACGCCGCATCCGCGTCGACTTTTCCACCACCCACAAGCCTCACGACCCCACTCCCGGCATCTACAAGGGCGAGGTGCGCCCCGACGACCGGTACCGCGCTCCCCCTCCGCGCGGCCCGCCCAGCCGTGGCGAGGGCGGCCGTGGCGAGGGCTCGAGGTACAACGGCCGTGCCTACGACCGCGCTCCTCCCTCCTCCTACCGCGACTCGAGGGGCGGCGACTCGTACCGACGCAGCTACGCCGACTCGCGTGACGACTGGCGACGCCGGCCCTCGCCTCCGCGCAGGCCACGCAGGTCGCCCAGCCCCGCCGGTCGACGTGGCGGAGGCAGGTACTCGCGCTCGCCAAGCCCCCGCCGCGGCGGCGACAGGTACCCTGCCGACCGCTACGACGACGACCGTGACGAGAGGCCGCCTCCGCCGTCGAGGAGCCGCCATGGAAGCCACCTCGACAGCCCCCCGCGCGAGGACAACGTGGAGCCCAGCCGATACTACTAGACCTCCAGCCCTCGAGTGGCCTGCAACTCGCCCCCCGCCAAGTAGCTGGTGCGATGCCAGACTGCGGTTCCGACGCTCGTTAGCCGTGTATAGCTTCAACCTGGATGCACCGCCCGCTTTCGTTTCCCAAGATTCTCGTTCCGATACCAAAAAGCCCTGTCTCATTTCATGCCAAGGTGCCGATGCAAATCGATCGGTCACAAGCCTTGCTTTGTTGTCTCCCGCTCCTTTCAAGCTCCTCAACCTCCGATGTTCAAAAGAAAGAAAACAGCCAGGATCGCCGTCAACTTCAACCCCCGCGTCTCTCGTGTGTGCGTGCAGCCCCAAGTTTAGAAGAACCCCCAAGATTAACAAGCAGCGCCCAGGTTGGATCAGAGTGCAGGCAGCCCCAGTGAACGTGATGCCACAAAGTACAGTCGCCACAAGCTCCTAATCCCACACAAGCCACATCGCAGCGAAGCGGGATCAAGGCCTCCGGTAGGTAGCTGTGCTCAACTACTGATCTCTCTTGTCTAGTTCCGAAATATGAGATGAGTCTACAGCGCAAGTTCACTCTCGAGGTGAGTATGTACCCCGAGACCCCACCGACTCGATCACAGTTGTGCTTTGGCTGTCATCAGCAGCAGCAATACCAACTATTCACGCCATCATCGCACCATTCCCTTGGGATTGCGTTGCGCTATAGCGACTGCGCGAGTTCTTGACGGATAACGAGCATGGCTTGAATCAGATGCTCGTTTTCCTCCCATCTTTGATCGACGTCGACGCTGATGGAGCCGTCCTTGTGCAAGGTGCGGATGAGTCTAGCGTCTGCCTTGCGCCCTGCGTACCACTGCGCTTGCACATCTTCGCCATGCACAAAGGCTCTGTACGGTTGGAGCCACTCGGCTACGTTCTCCTGCTCCGCACCGGGCTCGAGGCAGGCGAACCACCAGACAAAGTCGTCAAACGAGTGGCTCACGCCCTTGAATCCCGGCAGCGCCTTGTCGATCACGCTGGCACGGTAGTCGATGCGGTACCTCAACACGCGTTCGGGGTCCAAGCCTCCGTGGATGAGGTCGGTGACTAGCATCCGCTCGGCCATGTACACCTGCGAGTCGGAGCAGATGCGTCCAAACACCTCGCCGACCTCGTCGGGCGTCATGTCGTGGGTTTGTGCGTCGTCGTCGTCGTAGCGCACGCGGATGTTCTCGGAACATCCGTCGCAGCTGACCACGTCCACTTGCGCATGCACCTGGTCTTCCGATAGCATGTATGCCGAGCCGCAGCGACACGCGTGGCTGAACGTGATCGCATCGCGGTGCTCCGCAGGCTGGAAGGACTCGAAGTCAACCGTGGCCGAAATGCGCGGCTGCGACGATGCGCTGACTGCAGCGCGTGCGGCGGCTAGCGATGCGTCGTACGACGCACGCAGCCCATCGTCGACCAGCGTCTTGTACGCGTGATTCAACCGGCGAATGAGCTCGTCCGACTGCGCCAGCGACTCGGCCACAGACGCTGCATCGTCCTGCGAAATCACACGTCCACCACTCTGCTGCTGCAGCTTGTCCGGGTGGTGTTGTCGCACCTGTGCCAAATAAGCGGCGCGAATCTCGGCAGACGTCGCCGATGGCCTCACGCCCAGCGTGGTATAGAGCGAAGCTTCACCTTGGCCTACCGACGCGAGGCCGTGTCCGTTGTCCTTCTGCCGCCGCTCGTGCTCGTTCGAAGCGCCGCCAACAGCAACGCCGTAGTGCGGGAGCATCTTGTGCACGAGCGGGAGGGTATAGTAGTTGTGGACCTGGCGAACGAGAGATGCCCTATCGGTGGGCGTGTTGATGTAGCGGTACACCCACTCCTCGTCTGCGCACTCGCCGATCACAAAGCGAACACCGTACTTCTGAGCCCACGTTGCAAAGCGTCCGTCCATCATGGCCCTTGTCCAGTCTGGCTTCACGAATGCCCCGGGCTGCGAGTCGCGTGTAGCACGGAATGTATGCATGTCCATGCCGCCGAGCACGCGCGCGAGGCTGGCACCATCCACCTCCCTCAGGCGCGTGATCTTGTCGGCATCACTCAGCTCTGCTGGGATCTGGAGCGCGGCCGCAAGTTCTTCGAACTGCGCGCGTGTTTCGTCGACCGGCTTGGACGGCCAGATGGCCGAGTTGGACTGGAGAAAGACGCGGCGGATGATGGGCGTGTAGGCGGGGTCGCGAGCGCACAGGTCAAACTCGTGCATCAGCTGCGAGTGGGTGCTGTGAGCTCCCGCCGACAGCCCCGCAACGGTGATGTTGCCCGGATCGCCGCCAAAGTGCTCGATGTTGCGATGTACCCATTCCAGCGCAGCCCTCTGGTCCCAGAAGCCATAATTGCCCGTACAGCGTTCCGGATCCTCGTTACGAAGCTCATCGTGTGCGAGGAAGCCGAATACGTTGAGCCGATACGCAGTGGTGACGACGATGGCGTCGAGATTGGCCTTGTGGATCAAGTCGCTCGGATCGCCGTCGGGTGAGAAACGCGCGTTGCCAATCTGTAGCCATCCTCCGTGGATGTAAAAGAGGACTGGCAGCTTGCGGTCGATGCGGGAGCCATCATCGCGCACGGGGCACCAGACGTTGAGGTAGAGGCAGTCTTCGCTCTGGGCAAAGACGGGCGCGTCGGGAATCGTGACGCCGTTGGTGAGTGCGTAGTTGGTCGGCTGAGGACACGCCTTGGCGAAGTGCTGGTAGCGTTTGCCGTCGGTATCGTATCGGAAGGTGGCAGGAAGAGGCTGCGGTCTCTTCCAGCGTAAAGGGCCGACGGGCGGCTGGGCGAAGGGAATGCCAGCATAACGCTGCGACTTGAGTCGGCCGGTGGTCTTGTCGCTGGCTACGCTGCCAACGAGGGTGCCTTGACCAGGGATATCGACCTTGGCCGCAGCATGGTTTACGAATGTGCTCGAGGCCTGACCCATGATGCTGTTCCACGGGCTCAGGGCAAGACAGATTGTCGGGTAGCTGGTCGGCGTGTGCGATTAGGATCACGACTGGGTTAAAGGAAGAAGGATGGGTCCAGGCAATGCGACTCTCGGTGGCTTCGTCAAATAGCTCGAGGACGTGCTCGCGCCAGCAGCAAAGCCTCGTCGTGCGAAGACCTCGTCCGGCAAGCGGTTCCAGGCAAGAGCCGGTGGTTAAAGTGGTGGAGCGAGGCACACCAGCGATTTGTGGAGATCCGTGCGATGTCACGAGACTCGGCTGTCGCTCCGGCAATCCTAAATTTTGGCGCTGGAGATGCAGCGAATGCCGGTGGTATAGCCGTTGATTTCACCGACAAGACTTCAACGCCGAAAGACCGTCCTTTTTCGTTTCGCTACCGCCTGTCGCTCTCCCTTCACGATGCTTGCTCGATACTTTCCAGGCCACCGTGTCGATGTCTGACAAGCGCATCCAACCGCAACAGCATCAGAATCACACCGCTGAGCGGCAAAAAGAAACACAAAAAGGAAACTGCAGCACCTAGGATTCCC